GAAAAAGCTCTAGAATTTATTTTCCTTAAAATTACGATTTATGTATCCGTTTGTCATAAAAATTTGTCTTTCCACTTTTTCCGGAGACTACAAAATATTTGAGTACAAAGTAACCGGTTTCGACTTATTTCTACTTAAGAAGTAGTTAAATAATTAAGCGATTAGGGAATTGGGGACATAAACAAAACCCTGATGAAAGAGCCGAAATTTTACGTAAACAAAAGCTTAACCGAACCATCTCTAGCCGAGTACGGTGGAGACTGATTTCTTCGTATTATTAATGTAATAAAGACAGAAATTTTTCCAGTTCAACGAGAGTGACCGAAAAGTTGTAAATTTTGGAAATTTCGAGGATACTTGGTCTTAAAACGAATTAGATAGAAAACAAATGACTTTTAACATATTTAGATTTTTACAGCTATGGTGAGAAACGTTTAAAATTTACAACAACCCTGTCGCGTCCTTTGAGATATACTAGTGATGCGACAAAAGAAGCATTTTACATTGACCGGTATGGGCACCCTCGGGATTTGGCAACCCGCGTGCATGCACGCACCGCACACATAGCAGGACCGTCTCTGATTCCACACGTAGGGAGCTATTTGAGTAAGTTTTTAAGATTTAAAGAGTAAAGAATATTTTATGTTATTTTTATGTATATGGTATATTTTTATTACAGTTGTTGTGTTTCTTATGCATGTATTTCATTCACTGATGAAATAAAATAATGTTAAAGCAATAAACACATATGTCATCTCACTACTCACTTATTTTTTAGGAATTATACATTGGACTCACACAGATCTTGAGCAACTCCAAATGAAAACAAGGACAACACTTACTAAGCATAAACAACTTTATCCTAAATCTGCCATAGAAAAATTAACCCTTCCACGTAAAGATGGCGGACGTGGCCTGATCGACATAGTTAACCTACCCTACAAACAAATACAGATATTGCGAGGATTTTTTACAAAAAACAAGAAACGTCACAGTTACATAAAGCAGAAACTCTAGCAAACTTAAATAGTACACCATTAAATATACACTCACAACGTATGAACACGACACAACTTGTAAATAGCATAGACACCGCTAAGCAATCATGGATACGAAAGGCACGCCATGGCAGGCATCCTTATGACCTTGCCCAGGATTTTGTTGACAAAACTGCATCAAACAGCTGGTTAGATTGGGGATGCCTCTTTGGGGAGACGGAAGGATTCATGATTGCCATACAGGATCAGGTCATAAATACTAAAAACTACAGAAAACACATACTCAAAGATATAACAATCACAAACGACACATGCAGAAAATGTCACATCATGCCATAAACCATACATCACATCACTTCTGGATGCAAGCTCTTGGCACAGACAGATAATTTACATAAGACATAATTAAGTAGCAAATACATTAAGAGCTTGCAAAGAAACAAATTATTACATATCTACAAACCATACTACAAATACGTTCAACAGACAGTATTGGAAAACAACAGGGACAAAATTTACTACAACAGCCATAATCACAGATAAAACAATTTACCACAACAGACCAGACATCACACTCATTGACAAACATAAAAAAATCACACACATTATAGACATAGCCATTCCAAACACTCACAATGTACAAAACACATTTACTGAAAAAATCAGCAAGTACACAGAACTCACCCAGGAAATAAGGCATCTATGAAGGATGGACAGGGTGCTTATTGTACTGTACAGTACCTGTCGTTCTTTCGTCTAGAGGTTTCATACCACACGCTACACAAAAGCCTGGAAATATTAAAATTGAATAGAAAGACATACATCACACTACAGAAGGCAACTATTTTGAATACCTGTCATATTGTTAAGAAAATCCTGAATACAGACATACACTGACAGACTTATTTAATTTTTGTCTTGTTTTGAAGTTACTATGTCTTGACTCTGGTCCGGCATAGTACACAACCATCGGTGTCAACCGAGTGCAACTCACAAAACTCAACATAATAATAATAGGTTTATGGCATTAAGAAATTCTATT